CACAATGCATCATATCCCCCCCAGTGTAGCTGTGGGATAATCAGTTGGAGTCATTGTTGTATGGACATGGAACCTCTCGGTGTGCGCTGGGCTTGTTTAGCACATACCGTCAATCAGACGTGCATCTGGTGGTTTTTTTGTGTTCCCCGACCTGCTCCTGAGATTGTAAGAGACGGCACAGCGCACGAGCTTGCTGAGAAAGCTGCTGCTGTCGGGCAATCTTGTTGCTGTGGGTGTGCTAGTCTAGGCAACATGCCAAAATAACATGAATGTCAGCAAGTGTTTGCATTTTTCATTTTCTATTCCAAAATAATACTCCTTAGGATACAATTTAGATGTGTCCTTAAGATACAATTTCAATAATTGAATATTTATAATTATAATTTTTTTAAATATAATAACTATTAATTTATTTGCATCTCTACTGATTTCCATGGATCCACTGTTCTAATTTCTTGAAGTCCATGGTGCCATCTTTACGTTACAAATATATTCAGTTGTTAATCAAATATGAGGGGAAAAAATATAAAACTGTCAGAAATGAAAAGCTACAACCAATAAATGTTTTTATATTTTCTAGAAATCTGGAAACTGATAAATGGCTAAAACCGATCACCATTTATCGACAACTGATTGATAATTGCATAAATCTATGGCTTCATTAGACATATCTATTCTTTATCTATTCTTCATTAGGCTGCTATGTTCATGTCAAACCTCAACAAAACATACCAGGAATTTAAGAAAAAAATGCTTTTATTTATTGATTTTTTTAATTATTATTTTTATTTTTTACACCTTTAAAAAGCAAAACCTTAAAGCACAAAGATTTACTCTGTATATAAACACCTCTCTTCATTGGACTAAAAAAATGGTAGCATTTGCACATTGTGCTTCGGTTGCAAAGTCTGTACAACAACTCTGGGTCTCTCGTGGTGTCACGACCCCAGTAAACATTTTATTGCATAAATCACATTTGACCTCAGTGGCCATTTGCTGACGTGTTGAAACAAAGAGTGTAGAGACAGAGGAGAGGGTGCCACTGAAATGAGGAGAAAGAAGCTCTCATACCTGTTACACAGTGAATAACAATAGCAGCTTTCTTAATGAAGGCGTTGCACATTGTCCTGAAAAGGAAAAAAGTAATCCATAAAAGAGAAATACAACTAAACTCATGTGACGATAACCGACAGTTGTGCTTTTGTCTAACTAGAAAAACTCTCTTATTCCTCTGCAGAGGAAAAAAAGAAATAAAATTAAATTAAAAAAAAAAAAAAAAATTCAAGGAGAACCTGCAGCTATTGGCTCATTTCCCTTTACACAGTAGCTTACTAAACACTAATCTCTAGTTGCACACAACCCCTTTTACAATAAGCATTTACATATCTACTCAACCTACATCTGAAAAAGTAGCATTTCTCAAAAGGCAGTGTCTCTCCATGACATCTCCGAGGAGACTTTACATCATTAAATGCTGAATGGAAGTCGGTTTTTGCACAAAAATATACAAATACACTCGAATCGATGACTTTGGTATAAACAACACGGAGCTCGTTATTCTCACACAAAGACTTCTATTCCTGAACGTTACCCCCCACCCCCGCCCTCAACGGACATATTTCTGCTCATCGTGTATAAATTATGCAAGTGTTTACAGGAAGAAAAAGCCAACAGGAAGTAAAGAAAACTAGAATCAGCAAAAACAACAACAACAAAAAGAAAAACCCTAACAGATTATCCAAAGATCTCAAACATCTTTTATGGTATAAACATTCCCACAACCTATAAAGGAGAAAAATGAATAAAAATGAATATAATCATCATTTAAAAAAAAAAGATTGATGGAAAATAAATGTTAAAAAGTTATAAGGTTCCCCCTTTATTGGACACAGTTGTAACTTTTCAATTATAAAACAAGAGTA